TCTATCTCCATTTTGGACAACAAAAGTGTAAACTGGGATGAAGGAAGAGCTTTAGTAAATACATCCGCAAGCTGAGAATTGGAACGAATGGAACATGGGCGCAGAAATCCAGATTGAATTTTGTCGAGAATGAGGTGACAATCCAACTTGATATGTTTGGTACGTTCGTGAAAGACATGATTTTTAGAAATGTGTAGTGCGGCTTAGTTATCACAATATAAATCAATAGGGAGAGGGACTAGGAAGTGTAAGTCTCGAAGGATGTAGGATAACCACTGTAATTCACATGAGGTTGAGGCCATGGCCCTGTATTCGACCTCGGCAGAGCTTCGGGAGACAACAGACTGTTTCTTTGAGCGTCATGAGATGAGTGAACAGCCAATGAAGATGTAAAAACCTGTTACTGAGCGATGGGAGTCGGTACATGATGCCCATACAGAATCTGAATATGCACGAAGAGTAAGGGAAGCATTGGAAGGGAAGAGCAAACCTCGTGCAGGCGCATTCTTGATGTAACGCAAGACTTGATGAGCAGCATGTAAGTGTGTCTTTGTAGGGACTGACATGAATTGGCTCAAATGGTGGATTGAGTAGCTGAGATCAGGCCTAGTGAGGGTGAGATAAAGAAGTCGACCAACTAGGCTCCTATAGGGAAGATGATCAGGGAGAGGGTCTCCATGTGTTTTGTTGAGTTTGATATTTTGATCCATGGGAATTTTGATAGGTCGAGAGCCAAGAGTACCGACATCTGCTAAAAGATCAAATGCATATTTACGCTGACAAATGGAAATTCCCTTGGAGGATCGAGCGACTTCAATGCCAAGAAAATAATGGCGATCGCCAAAGGGCTTGATTCTGAAATGTTTGTTGGGAAATGCTTGAAGATAATCAACAGATTGAATGTTGGAGCTTGCCACAATAATGTCATCAACGCAAATAAGTAGGGCAGTAAAAGATCCATTTTTCAGTTGGGTGAAGAGGCTGTAGTCGGCTTTGGATTGCTGAAAACCAAAATCAAGCAAGGCATTAGAGAATTTTTGATACCATTGCCGTGAGGCTTGTTTTAAGCCGTAGATACTTTTGTGTAGATGGCACACTTGTGAAGAAGACCCTTTGGAGAAACCAGGTGGTGTATGCATGTAAACTTCTTCGTCTAAATCGTCGTAAAGGAAGGCGTTTTGAACATCAAATTGTTTGAGAATCCATCCTTGAATGAAGGCAGCAGCGAGTAGGGTGTGAACTGTGGCAAGTTTAGCCATGAGTGAAAAGGTTTCAGTGTAGTCAAGCCCTTCTTGTTGGGTAAAAACTTTGGCGACTAAACGCGCCTTGTAGCGTTCAATGCTACCATTGGAATGATATTTGATCTTGAAGATCCATTTGGAGCCTATAGCATGTTTACCATGAGGTAATTCAACCAGAGACCAAGTGTTATTGAGTTTGAGAGCAGCTATTTCAGACTGCATAGCCTCACACCAGTTGGGATTTTTAACAGCTTCACGATAGGAAGAAGGTTCAACATGAGAGGACATAGCTGAAGAAAAAGAAGAATAAGAGGGAGATAATTTCTGAAAAGAAAGAGTTGCAGAAAGAGGGAATGCTTTACTTGGTGTGAAATGGGTTTCCACAGACAATGATGAGGAAGGGGTGATGGAATCACAAACTTCCTGTAAGTGGGGTGAATGAAAGGTTTGTAAGGGTGGCGGGTGAGGTAGAGAAGGGCAGCAGTATTTTGTAAGGTGGGCAGGAGTTCTACATGGTCGAGTAGATCGTCTGGGTAGTGGGGGGAGGACGAACTAGTAGTTCATTAGGCGAGGTGGGTGGTGAGACTGGTGGCTCAGGAAATGGTGTAGGGGGTGTCTGTGTAATGTAAGTAGAGTCTGGATTAGGTAGAGAGAAATTTGGGAGTGGAGCTGAAGTTGGCGGATTAGTTGAGTTGGGAAGAAGATAAGGAGTTTGAAAAGGAAATAGTGTTTCGTGGAAGACAATGTCGCACGAGATAAATGTTTGTTGAGTGTCAAGGTTTAGTAATTTATAGCCTTTGACATCGAAAGGGTAACTGAGAAATGCACAACGACGGCCTCTTCGGTCGAATTTGTGCCAGTGGCATTTGAGTGTTGATGTAAAAGCGAGGCAGCCAAAAATACGTAAATGTGAGTAAGATGGGGTGTACGAAATATAATTTCATAGGGAGATATGTTTTAAAGGACTGGAGTGGGAATGCGATTAATCAAATAAGTGGCGGTAAGAATACAATGAGGCCAAAAAAGAAAAGGAATGTTGGACTGAAAACGTAGGGAACGAACCACTTGAAGTAAGTTTCGATGTTTGCGTTCGACTAAGCCATTTTGTTGAGGTGTCTCAACGGATGATTTCTGGTGAATAATTATGTGTTTAGAGTAGAAATCATGCATTAAAAATTCGGTTCCATTGTCATTACGTAGGATTTTTACTTGAGCATTAAAATGTGTTGCAACCAAGTTATAGAAGGTTTCAATTCAGTTTCGAGTATCGGATTTTCTTTTCAGCAAATAGACTCAAGTAGAGCGTGAATAGTCGTTAATAATGGTGAGAAAAATCCGACTACCATCGTGTCCAACAATTGAGTGGGGTCCCCATAAACCACAATGTATAAGGTCAAAATAAGAAGAAGTTGTATGAATGTTAGGAGTAAAAAGAATTCGAGACTGTTTAGCAAGTGGGCAAACCAAACAAGGTAAAATTTACTTTGTATTCATTTTTGTGTTTACAAGAGTGTCCAAAATTAATTGCATACGGGAAGGGGAGGGGTGACCTAACCGGTAGTGCCATAAATCATGAGTACTTTCAGCAGGTTGTACAACAGCTGAGATGTGATTGTGAGAGGGAAAGTGCTGGGACAAAGTATTGGTTAATTCCTGCGGGGAGATTGGATCGGTGAACAGGTGGTAAAGTCCATGTTCAATGCTACCCTTCCCAATCGTTGTCCAGGGAGAAAGGCCATGTATAAAACAAGAGTTGGAGAGGAAAATGAGACAACAATTTAATTGTGTTGCAAGTGGCAAGCAGATAATGAATTGAAACGAAATGATGGAACGCAAAGGACGTTGTGAATTAAAATGTTGGCTATTACTTGGACGGTACCAACGTGAGTTACTGCTGCAAGTTCCCCATTAGGGAGTTTGACAAAGTAGGAGAGTGATGATGTATTAGTTTTAAAAAGAGAGGGTGGCAGATCATATGATCTGTTGGCCCTGTATCAATTATCCAAGGCATTTTTGAAGAAGATGAAGAGAGACAAAAGGAGATACCAGCAACAGAAGAGGAGTGGGGGTTGGAAGAATTAACCGTCTGGATATGGTTGGCTGATAGTGATGAATCTTTACTGTGCAGCAAGGCTATAAGGTCCTGATATTCCTCCTTTGTCAATGACAAGTGTGGTTCAGATTGGCTAAGAGAAATAGCATTGGCCTTTGGTTTATGAAGTTTGTGTCCAGAAGGATACCCGTAAAGTTTGTAACAATGATCAACAACATGGCCAATCATCTCACAGTGAGTACATATGGGTGCCGTCACGTTTCCAACATGGCTAGTCATCTCACAGTGAGTACATATAGGTGCTGTCGCATTTCCAGATTTGAAATAGTTGGCTAATCTATGGCCGGTGATTTTGCAGTGGGAACAGAAAGGCTTATCACTTTTACCTTGGTTTGGAGAATGTGTGGGTATGTATTTTCGGGCAGCAAGAGCTATAGAGTTATTTGTTGGGTTAGGTTGGGTAGCTATCACACGGTGTCGCTCTTACTGTTGGATATAGGAAAATACTTTGGTGACTAGCGGTAAGGGATCAATCAATATAATCTGATCACGTATATTGCCGAATGAATCATGAAGACCCATAAATCTCTCTTACTGTTGGATATAGGAAAATACTTTGGTGACTAGCGGTAAGGGATCAATGAATATAATCTGATCACGTATATAGCCGAATGATTCATGAAGACCCATAAGGAATTGGATGACGCAATCCCGTTGGTAGCGGTCTGAAATGAGCTTGGTTGAGGCACATGAGCAAACAGGTAGAGGGTCATAAACAGATAATTCATCCCAAATGGATTTGAGTTTACTATAATATGCATTCACCGAATCATCATCTTAGGTGAGATTAGCCAACTGCTTATTGAGTTCATATATACGAGGTCCATTTTGTGGTGAGAATCTCTCTTTCAGTTCACACCAAATCTGGTGGCATCATCAACAAACGCAACAGAAGAACACAACCAGACGCTAATTGAGTTTTGTGGCCAAGACACAACCATGTCGTTGCATCTCTCCCAAAGCTCATAAAGGGGGTCATCAGATTTTGTAGGTTTGGTGAGGCTTCCAATTAGGAATCCAATTTTGTTTTTGGCTCGGAGTGCTATTTGGATTGGGTCTACAAGGTTGGTGTATTTGTTAGGAAGTGAAATATCATTGATGGCCATTGTTTACTGCTCGATACCATGTAAGATTTAGTGAAATGAAAACACAAGTAGGGAAACAGAAAGAAGAAATGAAATTAACGAAGGAACCCAAAAGTAATGAATCTATTGTAATTGAGTTGAATTCATTTGTTGTACAGTAGCCTATATATAAAAGTGATCATCTAGCACTATACAAGATAAAAGACCAAGTTATCCCTAAACATTTCTATAAATTACAATACATGCTAATAAGTTGTTGGGAATTTGTTGTGTGTATCTGAACAGCTTTGCTGAAGTGGCATTTGAGTGTTATTCTTCAATAATGAGCGGTCTTTCTCTGAGGCTTCTTATGTTGTTTATCAATTTATCAAGGGTGTTTGAAAGATTTTTTCTACTAGTGCCTTAGTCTCGGAGTGCCTTCTTGTTCATCGCTCAAATGGTCTTCCAGGTTAGATGAATCTGAACTTGATCTGTGAATCTCAATGGGCTTGGTTTGGCAAAAAAAATTATCTTAATCGATAGGCAATACATGTGACATTTCAAAGTAAGGAAGCTTCCCGTCTAATTTGGCGAGTAGCTCAAGTTTCCATCGGGCAATCCACTTGAGGCAACATATCCACGGGATTTACAATAACTTCTCAAAAACTCTGCTACCAAAGGAGGCTGAGATTGTGGTTCGTACAGCTTGGGTTTTGGTAAAGAAAATTTGTAGACATTCTCGATAACATGCCTAGGTACTCGATTTGCTTCAACCTACATAGCCTCCATGTGTGCAGTCATATGATGAATAGGTAAAGCCCCAGAGGAAATCATCCCATATCTTGAACTCTTAAAAGATGAAAACATTAATCCAGTGCAATCCCATAGAGTTTGTCAGATATTATCAATGTTTGGAAATGCTTCGTCCTCTCAGGAGTTGAGGTAATGCCTATCTGTTTCTCTCCTGCCAAAGCTTCCCCACATTGAGATACCCAACAAATCCAAAAATTACGCTATGACATGGCTTATGTCCAGTAAGATGTCCATTATTTGGATGACTGAGAGACGAGCCTGTCACATTAGAGCTTACACTGCTTCTTGTCGAAACTATTTACTCTGCTTCAGATTGCAAGATGGCAAGTAGATCTCCCTTACCATATACATTAATATCGGTACCAACCAATTCTTGCAGACTTTTTTCATTCCCATAGATGAACTGACATTTTCCCCTCCAAAGCTGCAAAATTGCCTTAGCTGACCAAAAAGCAAAGAAAATTCCCTGTCTATGGAAGTATTCAGCACATTTGTTTTTGCAGCAATTTCAGGCATCAAATTCTGATGTCTAATGGGAGAAATCAATAGGCAACAGCAGAGGCAGTGTTACCTAACAAAATCCGGTAGAAGATCTGAACGAGAAGCAATATCTTTTTGTGGAGATCAACTTCTCGTGCACATGCCTGCATTTTGGTAAAATAAGTGTCTTATTAGTATAACAGCTATCAATGAAAAGATTGGCACTAAAGACTGAGTATAAACATAACATGTTTATTGTGTCAAGGAGTCAATAATAGTGCTTATCTCAAATGTCGTTTTGCCAAGATTCATGTGATGGCTTTATTATTTATCGGCCATAAAAATAAATGGGCTTTCAGAAACACATTAGGCTTGATCAGAGGTCTCAAAATTCCAATTTTTTCCTTTTGTATAATCATTACATCTACAGAATCATTCTAAGTGGCTCAAAGAAATAAAGAAGCAACTTAAAGTCATTGTAGCGTAGAATCAAGTTTCAATTACTACCTCAAGATCAGGGCAACGGTAGAACACTGGGTCCTACGCATCAACAAGAAAGAAATGGTAACGATTTTGAGCCTTAATGATCAATAACCCCTTCCACTAAGGGGAATAGGAGTGCGGTTACGTGGAAAGAAATACTTTCAACTATTCATTTGTTTATGTGGGGGAGAGAGAAACAATAGGATCTTTGTAAGGATGTGAGCAAGAAGTTCCCAAGATATGAGATAGAGCTAATTTTTGAAGCATGTTTATGGATTTCTTGGATAAGGAGTTCAAGGGTGTTCCTTTCCGGTCAAAAAGATATATTGTATTCTTTACATTGTCATCAAATTACTTATCTAAACAACTATATCTAGGATAACAAAACATGATAAATGTATTTTGCTTCCAGGCTTTTTGATTGGAAAAATAGTCATACGCTTCAATGACTGGAATCTTCTCAATAACTTATGTTCCAAATACTTAGGTGCGGTTTCATTAATAAAAATTGGTTTGACTATACGGAGAACAAGTATATTACAAGTTTATAACTTGTTCAGTGGTCACATTAACCCTCTCATACCCTTCAAAGGATTCAATGCTAACTTAGAGATGGAGATATTATGACCTCACCAGAACACTGTGTTCAACAACCCTCCAAAGCTGTCACCATATATCTAGGTTCTTCTCGAATGGAGTGTGAACTAGCTTATCATTCTCCTCAAGCCTGCAGCAGTCAATTTACAATGAGAAGCGGTATATATACATAAATCAATGGAATGATGGAATAAGATTTTCAAAATCAAAATTTTTAGCAGCACAGCGCATCAAGTCCCAACAGAAATCCTGCATTTCAGCAAATAATTTTAAGCAAGCATCAAATATTACAAAACCAAATGAATTTGTGATATAATTTAAGACATTGACCTTGAAAGGCTGTAGCTCAACATCATGTTCTTCTACAGACATATTAGTAATTCCATGGAGGCTAGTAAAGCGAAAAATATTTAGAATCCCTTTCTTCTAATGGACAATCGAATTGAAATCAAGAGAAGGGAAATATATGCCTGTGTGGAACACAAAAACTGCTAGCATGCAATGCTTCCTCTTTATTCTGTTGCCATCTCATTTCCTTTGGTATCATATTACTAATGCTTGTTGGAAAAATTGAGTTGTGACTGACTTTGGCACGAATTTTGAGCGGGACCCGTTTGGCTATTTTGGAAGATGAAAGTTGATATGTGTTCTCCTCCATGAGTATATCGAAATCATATACTTACTTGTAAAAAATGGTGTTCGAGTGAATGAGAAATTGAAACTCAAAGTATGTCATATGAAAGGAGTTTATGTTTGTGGGAAAACTAAAAACCAAATAAGTTTGTCCCACATAGAAAGTGGATGAAAACTAAAATCACTTTACAAAGAATTACACTTTAGAATGGTGCAATCATGTGTAGCATAGAGGCTCTCTCTACGTGCGCGTAGGGGGTACAAATCACGGACCGAAAGAGGTTTCGAAACTTGAACTTGTGTGTGGGCACGACTTGCGTACACGAATATCGTAGCGGATTGACCAAAATTGGCCCCTTAGAAGAGCCTACGTTTGCTATATTTTATTTTTCAATTGAGTTTTCATTTTCTGAAATAGTTGAAACTTCTAAAACTCCTCTTGTAATTGTCATTAGTTAATGGGCAAGTTACCAATTTTATGAGCCTATAAGTAATTCGTATTCCACTTTTCTCCACACACCGAAAATCACCTGCATACAAAATTTATGTCTGCATAAAGTCCTCATTCAGTTTATCTGCATACAATTTCGATTTTTGTCCAGTTAGTGATATAGTTCAGGCACAAAGTCGGTTCGCTAGAGTAGTATCTGTGGTGCTCGAAAACTACTGGTTCTATCGTTGTATCCTGGGAAATTGACACTCAGTTTAAACATCAAGCACAGATAGTGAGGGAGGGAATCTGTTTTAAGGAAACTGTGTGTAACACAGGTTTCGGGTTAAAAGTTTTCCTTTTATTTAACTTCTACAAGTGTTTGTTTTGTCACTCGTTTATGCAAATTTATATTTTGCATCTCTACTTAAAATTTTATTACTTGTTATACTTTCCTACAAGTTGACACGTTATTGAATCTGCTAGAATATTAAATCTAGTATGTATAATTGAATCTGTTATATTTATAGTTGTTGAATCTGCTAGTCCATATCTTGTTAAACGGCAAATACGGTGTGAGTCTTTCACTTATGATAGAATTTCAATTCAGTAAGGCGTGCCTACGCCTTAAGCAAAATTGGCAGAATTTCAATTCAGTAGGACGTACCCACGCCTTAAGTAAAATTCACTAATACAGTATCTATTCTACATATTCGGTACTCAATTAGTAAATTCGATATTCAGTTTCGTGAAAATTGTCCAACAATATCCAACAATGCTGGAGCCAGAGTCCCTGTTCAAATGATCACGTTCTAAGCTCCAAATAGAGCATTATATGAATTGTTTCAACCAGATATAATAAGAGCTTGTTTGTTTGGAATTCTCAAATTCTACAGTAAATCAATTCTCATTTTCAACCATACGTTCTTCAATAAAATAATATTTTCCATCGCATCAATAATTTTTTCTTCTTTTTCAACCACACATTTTCCATCATATCACTATTTAAAAATCAATTCTACCCTCAAAAATTCCTACCAAACAAGCACTAAATGCATAAAAGAACTGAAATTGCCAATCTTACAAGCTCTTGTATACACTTGCTTTTCAATTTCCAAGCCTAATTTTTTTAGTTAAGTTTGTAACTGTAGCCATTAATCTACAATATGCTTTAACAAAATCGGAAATGGGGTCTCACGAATTGAAGTGAACGGTGACAGGGGAATTAACGTCAGAGAAGAAGGGATAGGCCTCATTGGCTTGTTCGATAACTGCCTCAATATCAGTAATCTCCGTCACCGATTCCAACACCTTATTTTGCTTGCTCCGGTAGCATTTCCTTTCTCCTTTGACTACTGAATAATCTGGTTGTGGGTGCTTCATTAGAGTTCGCCCTACCCAGCTCTTCTCATTATTATTGCGCTTTTGAAACTTCTTTTCCCCTCTGCAATCCAATGAAACAATGCACCTTAACTCTACGCGTATATGTGTGTATCTGTATTTGCTTTGCCCGACGCAGCGGCGGCGGAACTAATGGCGATATAAATTGATCTATATTAGCAGATAAGCCCCCAATGTTTGTGTTGTGTTTCATCTTGGTCCTCAATCTTCAAATCATAGAATATACATCCTAATCTTTCATTTTTCTAGTGCCACTTTTACCCTTGCTAAAATTGTATTGAAAAGACGTACTATCCTTTTATGGAAATAAATAACAAAAAAACAACAAAAAAGGAAAATTATATTGTAAATAATATGATTATTAATGAATGACAAATATAATCTTGCAATACTAATTTTTATTACCATTATATCTATAATTAATTGTCTATAAACATATGGCTTGATTTTCAATATAAAATATTTACTTTTCGTTTTTATTTTCTCTCTCGAGTTTATAACAAAGTAGAAATTCTTCTTCTCCCTTCCATCATCCCCTACCCAACCCCAACCAATTCCTGTCAAATCAAGAAGAATTTTTATCAATTTTTTTTTTTAATGCAAGGGTTAATCGGTCCAAAAGAATCCTACCGTTTACATGTTTTGTCTTTTCATTTTGACGCAATACCCCTCAAAAACAAAAATGAAACAACAAATGAAAAACAAGATGAAAAAAATGAAACAACAAAAGAAAAACAAAACCAGAAATTCTTCCCCTCCCCTCCCCTCCCGTCAAATCAAGATGATTTTTTAATCTATTTTGAGCTTAAAGGTAAAATTGTCTTGTTAATAGACAAGACAATTCTCTACACTACCATAAGTTTCACTTGTCTTCTATGTGTATCTGTTTTTTACATATTAGGTCATGTATAGTTCGATATAATAAACACAAATGAACCAATAGAATACAATAATAAATAATCTATTACAATAGTCACACTTCCATCATTCCTATTTCAAGAGCACTCCTCGTCTGCTTAACTTCGAGCCCTAGTGACATCAAAAAATAAGCATCTTCTCACATAAAAATATCACTTTCTGTACAACAGACTAAAATCTAAATACTAATGATCAGCCTCCATGCTAGATTTTGAAGGCTTTACGCCATTCCCGTTCAACTTGGATTTATCCTCGCGGGCTTCTGGCCAGTAGGCGAGCTTTTGATGGCAGTTCGATTGGGTTGCCTGGTTGGTTGAGACCCTTGATTTAGCCCTGATCAATTTGCAAAGAACCGCAGTTAGCAAGACGAAGTGCATATTTGCTAATGTGCAATATCCAAGCCACAACATAGCGTGATACAGAAACTCATAAACAGTAGGCAGCTATTAATCGATGTATTAGAAATGGCAGATAATCATGGATACTTGTGACAATCTAAAATTTTGCGACTCAAGATTTCAATGAACTCTATAATTGCACGATCACAACACGAGGTGTTTAACTAGTTGAATCCAAGAGGATCTTGGATTGCATTAAGGGAGGATGTAGAAAACTGAGAGTCACAAATATCCACATTAGAGGCAAGAAAGAACAAAGAGAGCATGTTTGGATAACTTATTGTGTGTTTGAATCTCATTAAAATGAGAATAGAATTTTTGGAATAGTGATTGATGGGAGAATGTATGGTGTAAAAGTGATGAAAAATATTAGATTTGTGTGTAATATTATTTTATTTAGAGAATGTGCGGTTGAAATGAAGAAAAAGAAAAAAATGAAAATGAGATTAAAATGGGTGTCAAACAGGGGCTTAAAAATAAGTGAAAGTTACTTTTAAGACACTTTTCATTTCTTAACATATTTAGATAACTTGCCTTTTTCTTCATTTTAAGCAAAAAAAAAATTACTTACATGGAAAGTAACTATTACCCTACTGTCCAAATAGGAGTTAGCTAAGCTTAAAAGTAAGTAAAAGTTAATATATATTTGGATAACTGACTGTATTTCAAGCTTTTCAAGTACAAACAAGTTACCCCCCTAATGTCAAGAGAACAACTTAATTCTAATTTCAATCAATATAAATAATTATCTGAAAACTTCTTCATTCACAAGTAAACTTTTTTTTTATCTTAGCCAAACTTGCTCAAAATGTCTTGTCAACAATAATCTTCGGAAAGAAAAAGGAAAGCATGAGAAAGAGACTGACCGCTGCTTGGCAGAGACAATCGCTTCTTTTCTTGTTTATTATCTGAAAGGGTGGATCTCTCTTTTGGATTGCTATGCGATCTTGAACCAGCAACAGGTTTAGAGGTAGTTTCCTCAACCAAGTCTTTAAGAACTGGTTTTGACCTTGTATTAGAAAATAGCATGACTGGCGTTTCTTGCACGTTTGCTGACTTGCTGGGTGAAGAGTTGCTGCCGTCAGAATGTGATAGACCCCTTTTTTCATTTGAGGTAATGCTTGAACGTGATGGAACAGTTTTCTCAGTTGCAATATTTGATGCCGATTTCTTTCCAGTGGGTATTAACTGGGTTTTGGCCCCTTTATTTGCATCAGCTGATCCATTCTCTATAATCTTCACTTCGTCTTTCAGATTGAAGTCTAAAAAACGGTTTTCCCATGGACGAACAGCCATCCATCTCTCCAACCAGTTCCAGCCCCAGTTGCTCTTATCTGGTTCAAAACCAGCCAAAGTTGTTCGCTGTCTTGACCCTGCCTGCCACTGAACAATAATATTTTATCTTTAAGGCCATTGAACACCATTACAAGTGATTTCAATTCTAATTAATGGTGATCATTTATCCCCTCTTTCCCTATGGGTAAACAAAAAATCTACAGAATGTAGGCATAAGATGTTCAATAAAAGAAATTCTGAGAGGACAAAGAATTTGGATTGAGGTTTTCCATCATTATTCAATTTTCTGATGATTGACTTTTGGAGTACTCAGCATGATTTCGTGCAATTTACATAATAGCTAAATTGTCTTTTAATTCGAAAGAATATAATGTTTACCTGGCGTGCCAAAGCATATGCCATTGCTCTTTCACGTTTAGCTGCAGCCTCTTGCCTCTTCAACAATTTGTTTTGAATTTCTTCGACAGATCCAACACTGTCACACCACCCATCCTGGGATAACAGTAAAAAAATCAGACACGATATCGAGCATGGGTTAAATAACATCCCTCCTTCTGTAGGTTTTAGATCACATATGAATCTCTTAATCTTAAATTAATAACGTTGTTGCTTTAAATTCTTAAACACATAAAACCTCAAAATGCAAGTCCAGTGACAGAAAGGTTAAAAGTATTTCTAAATCAAGAATGGTTCAGTATACATTTATGCCACCGTTAAGCACGTGTAATTAAAAATAAATATCTTTTCTATGCTAAATTCTTACACAACCACCTAACGAGTAATGTTATCAGTTCAAGACCAAATGCATCTTACTTCAATTTCTTTAACGCGAGATTCGTGTTCAAGTTGATGTTGAAGCTTCTCTTGTTCTGTTTCACTCTCCAATGCTAAACGAACACGCCTCGCCCGGACACGAGCTTGAACTCTTACTAAAGCTTGCATACAACGGAGTGTAATAGCAGCTTGCTTTCTTACAGCATGGCCCCTGACAAGAGCTTGAAGCCTCACCAATCCTTTTAAAGCGCGTAGAGCTTGTCTGGCCTGATAAAAAAAATCAGTATATGAACCATTCAAATTGTTGAAACATAGTACTGAAACCACTCTCTCCCTCGATATCAATGGTGGTAAAGTACATGATTAAGTTATCGACTAATTTCTTATAGAGAAACTCAAATGGAATTACAATCTAATTCTAAGAAAAAGCTGATTTTTGCCCCCAAACAGAACTCTAAATCCAGATACACATAAGTACCCTAGCAACATAAGAGCATGATAAACTCTAATCAACGTAAATTCCCGTATTATACACTTACAGTATATGTAGAAACTATTACTTATTATTTTGTTTAATGTACACACCAAATATTATACTTACCAGATAATTATCCACTTCGATAAAAAAAATTTACAAGTGTTTTATTGTCCTGTATACAATATATTCTCTAGAAAAAATTGTAATCCAATTTCCTTTCAATAAAATCACACTTTCTATACCATGTCATTGTAAACGAATCTTAATGCTGAACTGAAAGTAATGGTTAATGGTGACCACATATGTGTTACAAAATCTTCATAATGATGAATAAGAGCAACAGAAAGGGAAGGTTATGATGTAACATAAATGAGTGACTTCTCCTAATCAACAAAATCTCGATTGTCTACATTTGATTTATTTTCATATTTTACATGTATGAGCATTCACATATACTCCATTCTAGTGTTTTTACACCGATTCTTAACATACTTAAAAAGAAAAATCACAGTGCACAGCATGTTGAATCTCTTCTTCCTGTATGTTAATGACATGTCAACTGCTGGTTCATATTAAACAGAAACAAAGAAATCTAGATGGGAAATCATGAAATATCCAGTGAAGCCAGTACGTTAAGTACGAGAAAATACAGCAGTCTTCGTTAGTTCAGTAACAACTAAACATAGAAAATGAATCAAGTCAATACCAGAAATCCTCTAAAGGCTGTTTGGATGTGTATGGCAGCCCATTCTTCTCTCGTTATCTGTTGAACTTGAGCAGCATTTTGCACCTGAAGTGAAGTAGAAGGAGAGCTAGTGGAATCTGAAACTTGCTGAAAGTTGGCATCTTTAACTGATGTAGCCGCATCTTGAAGTATGTTGGCATCAATCTCAACAGAATGCTTTCTTCGATGCCAAATCTTGCCAATGCTTCCTGTTCTCTGCATCGTCAAGACAATTTTAGTCAATGAACAATGCCTATTTAATAAATTTCACTATATTCCAGACCTAGATAGTCATGTAAGTTTCAGAATATTCATATATGACACTAGGAAAGGTACTTCTGCTACAGTTTTCCATGCAGAAGAAACGGTTTTGCATCTCAAGTTTCTTCTATGCCCATTTTTAGTTCATAAATAACATATGATACATGTCCAATAAATATATTATCGACATCGAGCAGCTCCAATCACTTTGAGAAACTTTCTTGCACCAGGACTCCAGAAATGAAAAGGTAAATTTGGGAAAATTCGACACGAAATTCAAGATTATCCCTTCAGCGCGTGTAAAGCCAGCAGGGAAGGGAATTTCAGGCCCACGAGTCAAGGTGGAATATACAGATAGACGAAAAGAAGCTTTTCAGAGACAGGGCAATCAACAGAGTTAAATGCAAGCAAATGCAATATTTGTGCATCTTGGATTGCCTTTCCATATCATTATTTTCCCTGATAAATAACTGCAATCAGAAAATACCACCTACATTTTCATCCTTCTCCGAACATTTTGATTTCTCTGGTTTCTTGAAACCAATCAATGCTTTGATCCACTTCTTTGAGGCACCCATATCAATATATCAGCTCCAGACCTACCACAAGAAAGCCCAAATTTTTAATTATTGGCATTATTCTAAGACAAATCTCATTTTTTCTCTCCTGAAAAGAGCTTATCAAACAGAAAGGAGGAAATGGCTATCAAAACTAACCATTTCCCACATTACCAACCAGCAGATGAAGAAAATACTACAGGAGAATAGGAAATAACTGAATTGTAATCAGGCCCGGCCCTGAGGCGAGGCGAATGAGGCCGTNAAAAAAATGGGAAAGGAAAAGCTCCCTTGGAAACAACCAGCAAATAACATAAAATCTACACAATCACGTTGGTAATACTCATTCTGAAAATAAGTTGTATGTTCATATAATTGATTAACGACCCTCTAAAGAGTCAAATTCCTTGCGGACTTCCAAATAAATACCAAAATTTAAATGCTCGTTAACATTAAAATTTGTAGCCCACGGGGTTCGGAAAAAATAAATCTTATTAATGAGATTACGCTTTGTTGATTGCCAACCTTCGAATGCAAAGAAATTCGTGACTCCCAATTAATGAAGTATATGCATTTAAATGGAAAAGTAATAATTCTACAGCCAGAAGGTTAACATGAAAATAGCACAAAGAACCACTTGACAAAAATTCAACAAACAGTGGACAAGATTGCATTAAACTCATAGCGCTTGACAGTAAAACATAGTTGTTCAACTGAATTTGCAAGATATTTCACCTTTGGAATGACAAAAGCCATGGTTCGAACGTTAGTACTAGACCAGTAGCCGTTTTCACACAATTAAACCGACAAAGCAGCAAACTGTAAAAAATCCAGTTCATTAAATAAAAAAAAAAGATTTCGTTCATAGACAAACTTCACCAAATAAAATCCATAATTCAAGTGACAGACAATATATATTGCTTAACTCGNGAGAATTTTTGAACTGTACATTTCAAATTGATCGAGATATTTTCAGAAATTTGGGAATTTGGGCGGGTGGGAGGGGTTATGAACTTATGATCAAAGAAGAGAAGACGGCTTCGTTTTTGAGGTGCTTAGAAAAGTTAACTGAACATCATTGTCGGGGGAAAAAGCAGCCAAGAGTTAATCACGGGAATTCTTTAGCCCCACACCCAGATCCGTATTTTCCTGCCGTTTTGGATTCGGATATCACTTTCCGTCTCCACGTGGAAAGTTCAACCTGTATACAGTTAAGGATTATTTGTCATTTGTCTCTCATTATTTGAAGAAAAATAGAGTAATGAATAATATTTTTTGAAAAATGTGTGGTTGAAATTTAAAATAACTTTATTGATTTGTAGGTAGAATATTTTATTTGGAGTGGTTAAAATTTAAAATAACTTTATTGATTTGTGTGTAGAATATATTATTGGGTGAATGTGTGGTGGAGAATCTTACTGTAGCAAACAATTTTTTTGAATAATAGTAAATAAACATGGGCTAAATTTACGTCGAACCAGCAGTAAAAATTTTAAAATATAAAAAAAGGTAAAATTTTAGGTGAATCGATTCGTAACTTTTTTTTTTTTTTTTTTGAACTGTAACTTTTCGATTTTGTTTTTGATTATCAAATTGAAAATTTCTTGAAGGAAAATGGTCGAATAAAACATGGTCGACGAGAGCATCAGAGCACATGACAAACATGTTTGGTTAAGCCCATGTTTGACAATCATTATTTTTTAATTTTTTTTCTATATATTCATTTTTAATCATATATTCATAAAATAAAATTTTCTACACGTAAATTCAAAATTTTTTCTTATTTTTTAATCACGCATTATTCAAAAAATCACTATTCAAAATTTTATCTTCCTAAATAATAGTTGTCTTAGTGTAATACTTTTTGGACAAAATATTTACAAATATATTTTATAAGTTTTTTTATTAATTAAAAAGGTTAATTGTGTTAAAAATAACTCGTCTTACCATCAAAATAAGTAATCTATATAATTCTAACTTTAATCGAAAAAAATTTATTTAAAATTTTACTGAACTCTCATGGTTAACTAAGATTATGTAATGAGTTGAATTAAAACTGAACCGAATAGAAATACGTAGCAAGATCGATCGACATTGTGAACTAAATGAGCTCTATGGGGTGGTGAGGCTGCTTAGCTTGCATTCCAACGAGACCTCGTTTAGGTGTGGACATGGTAGTAGACTAAGGTAAGAGGTATAAGTTATATTGAAGTGTCACGTTTTGATTCACTAGCGCAATCCTACAAAAACATCAAAAGGGTACACGAGATAAGGGACTATAGGCAAGGTGATGAGACAGCCACGCGGGCCAAAGAGTGGAAAGATAAGCGTTGCAATGCCAAGAAGATGTCTTGAAACACAAGGCGAAAACCAAATGTGTAGTGTCATAATATGACTTTTTAGAGTATTTTATGAAATAGATGCTTAACTTTATGTGTTTTTTGATTATTTTAGGAGAAACATCGGGATTAGATGCGAACGGATGATAAGGAGCAAGATTTGATCAAATAGGAGTAAAATTAGGCATATTTTCCAAGTTGGGACCAACAAGTCACGTTTGAAAGTTGAAGAACCTTAATTACAAAATTTAAGGACTCGATCTGAATTAAAAATGGAAACAAGGACCAATTACACACGAAAATATTAAATTTCAACAATTTGAGATATCTTACTTAGACTAAAATTATGATTCCCTTTCCTCTTGGAACTTTATTTTAGATCTAATTTAGGACTATAAATATGAATATTTCATTTCAAACTTAAGGAAGACTAGAAATACAATCTTGAAACATAATTTATAATTACACGTCTAACTATATTGAATCCTTGAGGTTTGTATCTCAATTTGACATTTAAAAGTTGAATCACACAATTGGCAGGGAGATATACAGGCTCTAAAGATGAAAATCGACGATCCATTGTTATGAATTGGGTGCCAAGAAACAACAATTGCAAGGATTCTTGTCTTTGCTCTTTGTTTTGAATTTGATGATATAATGTGGCTCAAACAGGGGCTTTATTCCAAAATTTTCATGCAACTTTATTATGTAGTTATTATTTATTGTACGTTTAATGTATCTATTGCTTGATCACCATTTGATTGCCTTTGAAATAGTATTGAGATCGAGATGTGATATATGATTCTAACTCGTATAATAAATAATATAAAAGTATTATAAAAAATTGAGAGATAGTTATAAACTATGCAATCTATATAAAATTCATGTAAGTTAGCGCTCATATGTGTATGATATAATGAATTTGGGGCATATGGATAAACTTAGTATTACTTGAGAGAGATCAATAGGGCGGCGCGTGGGTTGGATTAGATCGACTTTTTATCCACACAAACCCAATCAAACATGGCCAATTTAATCTAAAATCAAATCAATCCAACACAATTATTGGTTTAAACCCAACACAACCCAACCCAACCCAAATCGATCAAACTTGGGTCGGTTTGGGTTGTATTGGATCGGTTTGGGTTGTGTTGGTCGATTTCGGTTTGGCTCCGATTTAAGTTGAATCCAATTATTATCAATTTTTTTTATTTGGACAATTTTTTTAAATTCAAAACTACTTGAAAATTTTCGTTGTTTTTAACGTATATAAGGATTTTTTTTCTGAAAAATAATGCATAAATAAGTTTGAAACAATTGAGCATTTTCTTTTTACAGTTTTTTGGAATTTATTCATTTCATTATCACTTTCTTAATTTTTAGTTTATCATCAGATTATTTTGCATTTGTACATAATATTCATACCAGACAACCTATGTAAAAAGGGATGTCTGTACATTATGTAGATTTCAGTATCCATCTCTTGTCTCCACTACCGTTTCTATTTAGAATTTTCTATTTTAGGTATTAAATTTTTTAATTCATTGAGTTTGTCTGGATTAGATTTTAATTCATAACTTGAGATCAAAACCAACCTTAAATTAGATTTTCCAACCCACCCTAACCCAACGCAATTAAACTTAAAAATTAACCCAAACTGGTCCGTTTAAGTGGTTTGGATTGATTTTTGTTCAATCCTAAAGATTACTAATTACGATAGGTCAATTCAATTGTTGGCACATGTGCAAAAATTGGTTGAATGAATTCAAATTAAATGAATGTTAAATTGATCTAAGGGTCCGTTTGATTGCAAGAATAGAATTTTGGTAGAAAGAAAATGAATTTCAGGGAATTGAATTGCCTAGAACTTGTTTTACTGAGAATTGTCAATTAATCGTGTTTGATTGGTATAATTTTCCACCTGAAAAGTATTGAAATTTTGGATCTTTCGGCATTGGTTTGATTTTGTTTTTCATAAAAAATGTCCATAAAGAGATAAAATTTGTTTTCATTGCTAAAAAAAAAAAAAAA